TCTTAATAATTTATTGATTTCTACTTTGGTAAAGTGATCAGCTTCTGCTCTCTCCTTGGTCTCTTGGTTGTTTTGTTGCTGGGATATTTTGGAGAGAGATGCCTTGCTTGAGGGCATTCAACTTCCTTCTTTGGTCCTTAGAGGTCTCAGAGAAGATCCTTTTCTCAGACAGATTCCATAGACTCTCGGGTGGATGTGGCCCATTTCCACTTTTTTCTTTATATACTGGCCTCCCACCTTTCCTAGTCTTCTAACTGATGGTTTACTGCATATCCTATTCGGGTTTCCAGACCTCCTGCATTGGCACCACGTTGTGTCTGAAAACATCATAAGTGACTGTCTTATGGGGTCTGGTCCTGTGGTGGCAAGTTTCAGACAGTTTGGGTCTGTATGGGAGACCTTTGCCTCTAATCAGTGGGTCATTCAGATTCTTGCCAGAGGGTTGGTCATTCATGTCATATCTCCTTCTCCATTGTCTACCATAATGGTTGTCATCCCTTCCCCAATGGTCAGCTTACATTAGTCATTGAACACAAGCCATCCAGGATCTTCTGCAAAGAGGCTGTAGAATGTGTTGACTACTCTCTCAAGGTATAGTAACCTACTCTCTTATAGTAACAAAGAAGACGGGTGATTGGCAACCTGTCAACGACTTTTCTCATCTCAGTCGTTTTCTCTAGCCTCCCCTAGGGAGTCGTTTTTTCCTCTCCAGTGGCACTTTGCACCCAGTCTATGGATGACAAAGTTGATGTTGCTGATGCCTACCTTCATATTTCGATCATGAAGTCTTCACGTTGGTATCTCCATTTTGTGCACGAGAGACAGGGTTTTCAGTTTTTTGCTGTACCATTCAGCCTTGCATCCATCCCATATGTCTTTTGCTGATTAGTCAGATCCTTTTCACATCATCTTTATTTTACAGACATTCACACTCACCATTATATGGATGACTGGATTCTTCTCGCTCCTTCCTGCCACTTGGCAGAGTTTCATACTCTAGCTCTTTTATCCAAATCTGTGAGAGCTGGGTTTCTCATCCAAATGGAGGAGTTTATTCTTACTCCCACACAGTACCTCATTCATTTAGGAGTATTTTTCAATTTATGTCTCAGTCAGGCCCAACCATCTCTTTAGGCCATGGAATGAGCCATTCCTTTAATACTGTCATCTCCTTCTCCACCAGTGCATGTGCTTCATTCTCTTCTGATGATGTGAGCATTCTTGGAATCACTCGTTTTTTGTTGTTTTTTTTTTGGGGGGGGGGTCAGACCCACATGCATTACCATTAGTGGTCATTATGGAACGATTGAAACATTTGCATTGTATTGTCTGGTGGCCCTTTTGGCTTCCAGTCCACTTGATCATGAATGGTAGTTGTACAGGGACACGTCTCCCATGTCCTGAGATACATCTTTCATGGATGCTTCTCTCCAGGGATGGGGAACTTGTGTAGAGGATATGGAATTCAAGGACCTCTGGACAGAAGAAGAACCTTCTCTCCATATCAAACTTTTAGAGCTTCTAGCAGTTTCAACGAACTATGACTTGGGCTCTCGATTTGTTGCAAGGGAAGGTTGTAATGATTCACTGAGACAATAACATGGTGGTCTCCTACATTTTAAAGCTTGGGAGCACTCACTCCAGGTCTCTTTGTTTTCAGACATTGAATCTTTAGATTGTTATCCTTGCTTGTCATGTTCCAGGTTATTAATTTAGTGGCTGATCAATTATTTCATCCAAATGGAGTTCTTCCCACAGAATGGATGCCTCATCTACAAGTTATTCATTGGATCTGCTCTCATCTTGAGACTTTTCATTTCATTGCTTTCATCACTCACTGGAATGCCCAGCTCCCCTCCTTCTGGTCTCCTGTCCCTCATATTTGGCTTTGGGGTCAGCCAGGGGTCTTCATTTGAGATTCATGTTTACAGGACTATTTACCATTCTACTTGTGTTCTGTTGTATCCTGATGGGTCCTTTCTTCCCAAAATTTCAGCAGCTAGAGAAGGGGATAAGGCTTTCTCTCCTATTCATCTGTGGAGATGGGGTGTTCTATAAGATCACCTTGTACACTTTCTGGGTTGTATACAGTTGTAACACAAAAACAAATACATTACTGAACTGCCACTCTTGGACTATCATGAATATTCCCAATTCAAATAGGGAATGTGGTTCACCTATTGCACTGTCTTTGGAGCATCATTCCTCGGGACTCCCCAGCACAAGTATCCCCCATTTCTCCAAGAGGAGCATTGGAGTCCTTACCACTCCCAGTTCCAGTCTCTGGAGCAGTGGACAGAGGTTTATTCCTTCTGAAGAATGCTTGTAGTCATTATTCCTCAAATGGGAAAGAGGGTGAAGATGTGTGGTAGAAGCTTTCATGGGAGCCCCTCATAATTCTGGTTCAGAGATGACTGTTTGCTCTCTTGTTGTGTTGTGCATGGCTCCTCTTTTTGGTAATTTTCTTTATTTTGATGATCTTGGGAGATGGTCCTCAGTTCCTCATAATTCTGTGCCATTTGTTGAACTTTTTTTTGTTCCACATCCTCCTCATAATTCTGGTGGCAGGAGGTGTTGCTTTGCCTCTCCAATTGGGGAGTTAGGATTTTGTTTCATAATCCCAGACTGGGTAATCTCTGTTTTTTCAGGTTGAATGAGGCATGACAAATCCCATAATCCTGAGTTCGGTTTGTTGTATTTTGTGGTTCTTCAGGTTGGGGCAAGGGTTTGTCCACTTTGGTGTTGCATGCCTTCTCTTCATAATTTCAGTGGCTTGACATGCAACATTCTATAACTTTCAGGTTAGGTTCCAATGATATCACATGACTAAACAAGACCAAACTTTACAGCAATCATCATACCCTAGCCACTGCATTTTTGATCTTGATTTGGGTCCACAGCCCTATAATTCCAAGGACAAGACTTGGGACCTCATCTGCCTGGTTGTGGCCTGGATGAATTCATGTCTTTCTAAAGATGTTAGGATTTTGCCTTTGTGACTGGCTGGCCTTTAACGCCCAAGAATTGGATTTAACATGGTCAGGGAAAAGGGCATACCTGTTTCAGAAGTAGTGTGGATCCCACTATTGTGCTATTACTATATGTCATTTTTACACACCTCTTTTCTACACAGAAAGTGTCTGTGTGGACCTTGCCTAACTGGGCTCTCCACTTTGTCAATGTGAGATTCTAGCTAAAGTGTTAGAGGAGGTGTGTTTCATAAGTTAACATTTTCCTACACAGAAAATGTATTTCTGATAATATTTACTTCTGCTCACACTCTCTTGCCCTTCCTCCCCACAAAATGACCAGCTTAGGGTCTGTTATTTTGGAGTGAGAGGAGGTACGTATTATCCGAAATACATTTTGGATATAGGAAAATGTTAATTTTAATTACTTTTTCATATTTCTTTTTATTTATCAATATCTCATTGTCTGTTCAATCCAAGGTTCGTAATATTTTTTGTTGTTGTTACTTCGAAATGTAGATGATACCCCTCCTTTTCCAGTTTGGCTATCTGTTTCTGTTGAAATGTAGCACATAGTATCTGTTGCTTGATTTTTTTGCACAAAATATTCCACTTTTTGTCCTTTAATATTACATTTCACTTATATAAATTTTGGAATAACTTTCTTTCTCTTGCATCTCACCAAAAAATTTTGTTAACATATTCATCTTTTTAATTTACTTTTTTGTCTTGCAAACTTCTTTGCTGTGGGTCCCATTTCTAGACTCATTGATATTGTTTGTCTTGGCACTTGTGTATCATGTTAAAATAATAAATAAAAAACACACAACATTAAGATAAGTACACAATTAAAAACATTTTTAATTCAGACCAATCTATGGCATCTGAAATGTTGACTCTACATGTTTTGATGTTTTTCACATCATCATCATCATCATCAGTTCAGAAATGACATTGCTAAAGTTGTTGCATTCTGAGTTTCCAATTTTATAGACTATGACCATGCCATAGATGGGGTGGATGTCTGATTTTATCAAATCATGGCATCCAAAGCTAAAAAAAGTTGTGCAGTAGTTTGATTACTTCTACTTTTTCATGGACAAACATCTGCTGAGTGTGGATTTTCTATAAATATACAAACAGAGGGTGGTAACCTTACAGAACAGTTATATTGCTCAGCAAGTCATTTGTGATTACATCTGTTATGTAGGTAGAATCTTCAGTGTGAATATCAATAAAAACTATATTTCTCTGCTGCTGGTACTAGACGACAAATGTTGTTTGAATGAGGTTAAACAAAAACCTATGTACAACTCAAAGAAGTAGATTGTAAAAGCTAAAATTGACTAACTGAAAGTTAAATGAAGACACAATAATATACAACCATATCTGAATGACATAAACTTGAAGACTTTTTTTCTTCTTCTGAAAATGCAGTTTTTGGAACTAATCTGGATTAGCAAAGTCTTAACAGCCTCAGATATATCACCAAAGAAGAAAATGCTTTTGCAAAAAAAAAATTAATGTTGAACTTTACAAACTGAATAACTTAAAAACTAAGTGAAATGTATGTTGTTTATTTTAGTGTTTGGTGTTTTTGAATAATTTAAACATATGTAGTAACATATATTTGTAACTTCTCCAGTGTACACCAACCAGTCTTTGAAAATTAAACTTGGTGTTTTGAAATCCTCGAAAATATATTTAACTAAAGTGTGGGAACTGTGTTGGTGGGCTTTTTAATGCTTTTTTAATAGTGAGCATTTCATACAGTGTTTGATATATGGAGTAGTAAGGTTTAACAGAACAGTTATAGTTAATAACATAATTCTACAAAATGATTTAAATAAATGTTTAAGATCAATCTTTTTCAGAAGCTTAATCCACTTTCATTTGATGTAGGTCCTCCTCTAATAATGTTTATCTTAAGGAATAAAAATATGGTATATTGTATTTTGCTAGCAGCTAATCATAATATTTGATTCAGACCTAAGAAGATTTTTTCATGTGCTGTGTTACTTGATGTTACAGATTTCTGAAAGGCAACATCCAGAACTTCAGCAATTAAGAAGACATATTCGTTCTTGTTTTTTGGATATTGGATGTTTTCTGATGCCTCATCCAGGCTTAAAAGTTGCAACAAATCCTCATTTTGATGGACGTTTAGCAGGTAAAGATACTTTATAAAAGCTAACTTGTTAAGAAATTTTTGTCTCAGTGTTTTACACAATCATTTGAGCAAAAAAAACATATTCCAGATTAGTATTAGCAATGTTTTAGTCTTATCCTCTACAATTTAATGGGGAGTATATATTACACCCATTTTTATAGGATGTATACATTTCACTACACCTATTTCAAACAGTATTTATTTAAATAACAGGGAAATGTGGTTTGTGACAAGTTAAATAGATCCACTAACTTGAGGATATTTACATGAATAGTCAAGTACACAGAGTCAGATTTTACAGTATAAAGATGACATATATTGGAATTTATACTAGTAATAAGAACAGAAAACTGTACCTAATTAAGTTTGACTTCTAGGCTAATAGTAATAGACTTTGAGCTAATGCTAGCTGAGTATGTTGGTTAAACAACATCGTTTATACTCTACTCTGCTAGTGAAAACATGGACAATCAGTTTTATCTGACTAAATCAGGTTAAGGGTTAAGTTTAACTCATAATTTATGACTTATTTTTTATAATCTTGCTCATTGTGTGCTTGAGTTAATTTAGATTCTTTTCCAAGGGTTTCAGGCAACTGTTCATCTATATGATTGTGTATTTAATAAGTAATCAGGTAACACCCAGACATAAGAATGCTTATGTCTTGTCAGCTTACTATTAGAAGTATATTGACAATTAATTTCCTTGAAGGGGGTTGAAGTCCACTTGTTTTAACCACTTGCACCACTATTCAGTAGTGTGTTTTCTGTCAATCAGTCAGTAGACACTAAAACGACTGCACATAAGAGATGATTAATGTTGCAATTTCTACTGTCATGATGTCAGTAAAATGTGTGCATGTCATGAATAATGAGAATAATTATGCACTCTGTAGGCTACAACACAGTATGACATATGTATTTCAAAAGCAAGAAATAAAAATATTTGTTACTCTTAACTTTGGTTTTATTTACTCTTGAAACAGAACACTTTTGGAAGCTCTGGGGAAGTACACTTAATTTATAATTTAAATCAATCCAAGCTTAATCACATTTAATGAAGTAAATTCACATTGCCTCTGTTAGACTTAGGGTCAAGTACTTCCTTCATTCTTTAGACACTTTTCATCCATTGAATGAGCTCCATCAAACTTAAATTGTGAAAAAAATGTTTTTCCATCATGTCTTGGCAGAATATTTATCTAAAGAATATTATCATTAACTCTTTAAATACTGGCCTGGCTCTTCTTAGTGTATTATGATGTTTCACAGAATTACATTGAACATTTAAGTGAATAACTTTTTTATCAATGTATGTCACTAAAATTAGAATCATAGTGTAGTTTATAATTCAGATTCTATAATTATCTAAATTTTAATTTATTAACTTCAAAAGAAAATATTTTAAATCCTTAATATTCTTAATTTTCATTTCTGTGTCATGTGCACATCTATGTTCTTAATTCTCCTCTTTTAGTTTGTATAACTTCAGTATTGTAGCAACTACACTGTCTGACTTATCCTAGACACAATATATAAACAATGCTAAGGTCAAATGTATATGTTGAATGTGCAAACTTCTTCCTGTAATGAGAAATAAATTTTCTAAACCTACAACAGAAGCCCTGCTCATTTATATTTAACTTTTATGACAGTTTTCAAAATCACACGCTCCTATTTGATGTACACGTTTATAACCAATTGAAAGAGCTTATTTTAAACTTTAAACCCCAATGGTCCTTTTTGAATTGCCACCAACAGACATTAGACCAGTGAGGATTTCATTGGGTACTTGTTCCAATGAAAGTTGATGTTGATAGCATGTCATGATTTTTCTTTTTACCTGAAATAGTTTAGTTAGAATACCAGTTAAATTATAGTTGTTTTTGGACATTCTGTTTTAGTCATTTATTTATTATTTATGTTTTAAAATGCATATTAGTAAGGTAAATTAATTTTTATGTTGCAAATACTTATAGAAAACAAAACTAGGGTTAAGTAAATATGACTGCATGAGTCCAAAGCTGTATGTGCGTACATATAACTGTATGGAAATTTTCCCATTGGAGGTGTCACTCTTAAAGCATGAAAGATGAATGTCGTATGAGCCATGCAATGAAACTATAAAATTAAAATAAATTTGAAAATGTAAAAATTTGAAATTCTACAGATAATGAAGTTGAAGATATGGTGACAAATATTTTACAAAACAGAAAAAAAGTATTGTTTATTTTATGTCATAATTTTCAAAATTTTATTTCACTGTACATTGATGATTTAGCCACAGCTAGTGTTAGGATAGAGAAAATAACAGTTTAAATATAAACTTTCTCCTCAAAAAATCTTTTGATATTCATTAAAGTGTCTGTAGAGATTATAAAAATGAAATATGAAACTGTAAGATTACAAGAACTATTTTTATTATAAGCATGTAAATCACTTTGCACTCAGATTGATTCAGTAAAGTCTTCAGAAATTCATAAAAAAATTTATAACATAAATACTTCAAAAAATATTATGATTTTTTTATATACAATTGACTTGTAATGTTTACCGAAAGCTTGCCAAATTTCATAAAGATGCACTTAGTAAATTCAGGGTTTTAGTATGTTAATTGTTACGATTTTTTAGCTTGTGTAGTATGACCAACCCATGCATGGAAGGTTATTGAAAACCCGATATCACATGTTGCCCCTCTTTCTAAGTTTCATAATTCATTTGCAAATCATTATGATTTAATATATAAATAAGCATGCAAACGATTCACAGGCGAGACCAAGACTAAGAATTTTCTGATACCACCATCTCATGTAAATTCAAAAATTATTCTCTATCCTGGGACATGTTGTTATAAAAGGCATTTATTGAAGTTCAAAAAGCAAGACATTTTATGACAAATTTTGAGTTTGATATTTATTATGTTTGAATAAAACTAATAAATATTTGAATCGTATGTAAAAAAAATTATAAATGATGAGTCAATAAATTATGTAATTTTAAAATTTTGTTAATTACAGATATTGAAACAGACTTTCAAAATCAGCTGAAAGTTTTAGTGCCTTTACTTCTTGATCCAAAGAATTTAGTCTTAAAAGAAATAAATGGACGTAAAATTACTTCCAGGGAACTTGTGGAGTACTTCAAGGTAAATTTCTCGTGTTTTTCCATTTTGATTTGGTTAATGATATGTCTGACAAAATGTTTTACATGTGCAAAAAGAGCCAAATTAGAATAAAGGTGTCAGACACAGAAATATTTAATATCAAAAGAAGAATTAAATTATATATAAAGAGTAAAACCTGTAAATATGTAACGTAAAAGTTGTAAATTAAAAACAAGTCGAGGAAGATTTGGATTCCTTTTTATTACAACTGCAACAAGCAAGAACATGAATTTAAAAAGAGAACCAAGTTTTCCTGCTTAATATACCTACTTTTACATTACACCTTTACAAATCACATCCCTGTTATTGTAGCTTGACTGGTTTTATATATGTTAAATGTTTTTATTAGATATCAGTACTTTTTGTTTTGTCAAACAATATTATTTCTATTACTTTTCAGGTGTTAGGAAAATAAAACAAGAGTTTAAATATCTAGATATTTTTTATGTGGAAACTGAATTTTTAGGCAAACTACAATACTTTTTTCTGTGTTTTTTAAAATGTTAAATCTGTTTATTATTTCATATGTTGTTTAATTAGAGTAGTTTTATATTTTGAGAATTAAAGTGAATTTCAAACAGGTACTTTCCTCTGAAATACTGAAAACCTCTCCTTGTTTAGTTTGCACTGATGTGACTACACATTGCAGAGCATACATCACTTACCCATTATTCTCCATTCTCCCACCTTCCATGTGACTTGCTGTGCATGCATCAGGAGATCTTGCATAAGATCTGCCTTCCCACCAAAGATTAGATTGGTTTGAAAGTTGTACTCGTGATGAAAATTTGGTTGTGGGAAGGCAGTTGGGAAGGTATTTCAGATGTAAGTACCTGTTTGAAATTCATTTTCATTTTTAAAATGTAAAACTTAAATCGTGTAGTCTTCCCACCAAAGAAAATGACCTCTCCAATATGTCACAGGTTACCTCCTATATATGTTTCACTGTAGCATCACAGACATGTCAAAAGTGAAGACTCTCAGAAATGTCACAACTATCTCTCATTGTGACGTCGCATATTAATCTTTCCAAGACTTAATTGAAACTTGTCTTAATTTAAAAAATACTGTTAGTTTCTTTCTAATTCTCAATAAAAACATACACATCACACATCAGTGAGTAAATAAATTGTATTTCATCTATAATAGTACATTGAGAAGTAACGAAATACTGAAATATTAATTGTTAGAGATTGCATAAAAGTACAATAATCAACATCATCTCAAAATTTTAAAGTAATGACAGTAGTTCAGCACAAACATGCAAAATGAAAATAATATATAGGTGAAAACTCTGAGAATTATCACATTGTGTCCGTATAAAAATGGTCTATATTAATGATCCCTTGACACTAGGCCTCATAAAGGGAAATAATCAATATGATATTATTTTGTTATAATTATATAATAGGAATTTGCTGACTAGCAAAATTGCAGAGTGCAAGTGAGTCATTATCACCCATGTATAAGGAGTTTCAAAATTATTAAATCTGTAAACAGTCAAACAGCCCCATTTGAATGTTTCTGTAAATCTATGGCATTACAAAACAGTATTTCTCATACCAAAACTGTTTTACAAATTTTGAATGTTGAAAGAAGAAAAAATTTAATTCTTATACCTTTCAGTTAGAAAAACCAGCATGCATCAGATCATGAGTGAACAGTGTAGTGTCACTCTTTGATATATATTTATAGGTTTTTGCTGCTGTTTAGTGAGTGTTATATATAACGTCTTCAAAACATCCCCAAGAAATCGTACCTGTGACCACTCAGAAATGTACGTGTCACACAATGAAATTGACAACACTAGCACTAAATTGTGACATCACAGATACGTGTCATCTTTGGTTGATTACCACAGAAATACTGAAAGCCAGAATACCCACAATGAACAGAAGGTACTGGGAACTGGTGAAAATGATACAGAGAAACCTAGAAGTTACAGAACAGAAAGGTAATAACCTAAACTACAGCAAAGAAGTAGCCAAGCAGAGTTTGAGTAGAATCAAGAACCACAAAAATATTTCAAGAACTGGATTTGAGGCATAATTAGTGGAGTGTATCAACCTTACAAAAAGACTGGACCTAAAGGATACTCAGAAACAAGGCATTATTTTCAGGATGTTATTTCTTCACTCCTGATGCCATCTAAATCAGACAAAGAGATTGGTGAAAGCAATAATGATGTAGTACATGTGCAACCATGGGACATAGGTGGTGGTATAAACAAGTAGGAGGATTACTAGGAATCAGGGAGGCAGAGATGACATATCTGTAGCCTACAGTATAAGAAACAGACAAACCAAGATTATGAAATAAGGACACAGTAAAGGAGGTAATGTTTTGAGGATTTGGAAGAAGACAAGAATATGAATTACAAAGGTACCAACTCCTAAAGATAAATCAATGAAATTCACATACTACCAGTGGGAACTTCTACATGAATGTGACAACTCAAGAAGACAAGCCAGCTTCTTTAACAAAAGACTACATAACAGCTAGCTATGAAGCTGTAGATGATAAATGTTGTTGTGGAAGATGTATATTCACAGCTGACATAGAAAATATTTCCAAAAAGGTAAAGGAATAGGATCCCTGTGAGATGGAGGACAGAAGAGTGGAAGCCATGTGGAGCAAACCAGCATGGGGTACAAAAAAAGAACTTGAAAATAGAACCTACTGATCTTGGACAATACCAGAGGAAGAAAAGAGTAGACATAGAGAAAAGATTCTCCCTAGACTGGCTTAAAGTATCCACTGCTAGAGAAGCTGGATGTGAAACTGTAGACTTGTAAAGTATGAAAAGATGATTTACTACAGTTAGGAATGCATCATTCATAAGATGACTAAGTCAATGGCACAACCAAAGGATGCAGAATCTACTCTCTTAACAGAAGTCAATGATCTATAGAATAAGAATCCACTAGAATTTTCACAACACCTGACTCATGGCAAGCTTGGAGAATGACAGGATATTAATGTAGCAAAAGCAGTAGAAAGATCAAAACAAAGCATAGCTGTGAGATCAAATTCCAGTCTGCTTTGAGTACTGAAACATAGTGATGTTATTAATATGGGGAGGAACTCCTGTCATACATGTTGAACTGTCCAAAGTTCCAAAAGAATAATGTGAGAACAGGATTTCTTAGTAGACCACAGACCTGAAAGAGACATTCCCCAACACAGCACTCCATTCCTGTAGAGAGGCATTGGTGAAAATATGCAGACCTGAATGAGTGGAAAAAAGGGGGAACCTACATTGGTAAACTCTTGAATGAGCCACAATTAAAGGTAATCAAGGGTAGTAGGAGAAAGTTTAAGAGACAATGGGTCTGAGACTAGATTTTACTGAGGGGCAAGCTCCTATTGAATTTGTTTCATGTAAGAATGACCCATACTAATTGACTTGTAGAGAAAGACTATCATTACCAAAACAGAGAGTACATCTTTGATAGATGGAGGATAAGAGAGAAGTATGCACACCCAAAATTCTAGTGAATTTGCAAAACAAAAGGGGAGGGGTGAAGAGTTTCTTGAAAAGTGTTGGTCCAAAATCGTAGATGTTCTAGATACTGAGTAAGCGTAAGCTAAGACTTGGACTTATAAGTGATCCATCACAGAGAAGAAGCTAATTGAATGGTCAGTTGAGTGTAAATCAATGACTGAGTGAGAATACTCCAATCATCCATGGAATAATAAAAATCAATATTGGGCATGTGTAAAAGACCAGCTAATGCTTTGACTACAGATGTAAAGAGATAGGAAACTCAAACCAGACCAGAAAGAGAGGGATATGAACTTATGAACCACTCCTCAATTTGTGAGAAAAAAAAGACAATTAGATAGTTAAATTGGGATGCATAAATAACAGTCTTTAATATCCATGTTTATCAGCCAAACACCTTCATAAAGGAACTTCTGTAAGATTTTTATAGGTTCTGTCTTGAAAGAAGGAATATCTAGCTAATAATTGAGACTGGAAATATATAATATTGTCCTCCATTCTTCTGTTTCATAAGAACCACAAAAAGGTGAAAGCAAAAACTTAGGGAAACATGAAGTGCAACTTTAACATCCCCTTGTTTTCTAAAAGCTGCAAAACCATTAGAGTTGAAATTGGACAAGGATGATGAAATTGAATAGAAAGCTCAAATAGAAGAATTTGGTGAACCCAAGAATCACAAAGACAAAGGTCCATAGATTAACGTTCACAGATGTGTTGTTCAGAATAGAGCCAATGAGTGGTAATTTAAAGACCCATCTTACTTCTATCAATAATAGGACACATAAAAAGTGTGAGTAAAAGTAGTGAGTATTGACAGATATTACAATCTAGTCTGTAGAAGAGATGACAACCAAAACAAAACAAGATGCTAAACTCTAATCAACTACTGCTTGCTTTGGGAAACCTTTTTTTATGAGGTCATTTCAAATGACGAAAGAAAGATTGGTATCTTGCAAGTGGCAAAGTAGCATAATAGACACATGGTAATAAAAAAAGTATGAGTGAGACCCTTATTTAATAAAGGCTGCAAAGTGAATATTTGACCCTGACTAAAATAATCAGAAGAATGAAAAGAAAATAGTCAATGAGTAATAATGGTTCAGAAAAAGAAAGTTTCAAAAGAAGACATATCATAGCATGTAGGGCAGGAAACTGATGATGGGTCAAAGTAAAACACAACACAGAAGACCGTACTGATGGTCAAGAATTTGAGAAAAATGTAATAAGTAGAATATGAAGTATTTTAATTTGGAGCTAGTCTCTAAAACAACCTGAACAAACCCATATATGAGGAGAAAGTGAAAGAAATAATAAGTGTAACAACCGAGTTCTCTCATATGACACAAGAACTCTTAGGTAACAGAAATTGATACAATATTTAAAATAGAACATACCTGAGAGAGATAAGAAATGAGACCAGCAGAAGTGTTATCTGTATTAGGGCTAAGAGATAAATCCTGAGCTGCAGACATTGAAAGCAAAAAAGCTTAATCAAAAGATCGACCATATTCAAAGCAAGAGAAAAAATGCTGAGTGTTAAACAAATTGAACATCCACATGATTGTGAAACCTAACAGCAACACAAGTATATAATTACACAGGTGCATTTAACAATCAGGGCTGACAATGGAACAATGCATGCTACAGTTGTATAAGGACTTCAAATAAATTATCAATGATTTGTTAATGGAAGTAGTTGCATAAGAATTAACATTGGATTCCAAATTCAGCAAAGTTAACAGCATGACTGTTAACAAGAAAATCTGAATTATGTAAGATCCACTGATGCTTGTGCAATAGGTCATGGGATAGTGGGAAATTATGAGGAAATGTTGCATACTCTGCAGCACATAAAAGACATTCTGAAATTTTGATTTTGTTGGCAGCATGAGCCCAAACCCAATAAGGAAAATATTACAATATTTCACATTTAAGACTACCTGATCTGAACTATAAAAATAATAGTATTTTTTACCATTGTTGAAATGCTTATTTTTCTTAATCTGTAACAGATATTATACATTTTAATATGGTATATTCTTTTGCAACTAATTAGAAATAAGATTCAACCTGAAGTGGGAATCAAACTCCCAGTTCTCAGAGAAGCTGTTAATACTGATAGAGCATCTTAGACCATTACACCTTTCTTTCATTTCATATATTCCACACGTCTCAAGTCATCAGTAACTGTAGAGAGCAATTCATTATCAAAATTTTTTAAAATATCTATAAAAAGAACATTGGTTGTGAAACCCTAATTTAGATTAGTAGCTAACAGTGGAATATTTGATATTGATCCTTCTTTGTTTAATTTATGCAGTGTCTCTCAACAAGGAAAAGAACGATAATTTTACCACTTATTGACTGCTAGCTTATTTTATTCTAAGAAAAGATATGAAGCTTCTGTTTTTAATATGATGTAAAGATGTTTAAAAGTGGAATTCCAGCATTTGAAGAATCTGTGTTAATACCCCAGATTTGGCCAAAAATTCAGTTCTGTTTATAATGTCATGGGAGAGTACTTTGTCCTTTTAACTTATCATTCTAACTTAGTTGGAGTCACTACTGTCCATCTGAAGTTAATTTGTATAAGTACAGAAAGAACATTCACTTGTTAAAGTTACTTAATATACATACTATTAATATTAAAACAATCATTATTGTTAAATATTAAAGAGCTTTGGTATAGTTTTTCGTATACTTAACTATTAAATTTTTCAAAGATTAAACTTCAGATACTTTAACTGAAAGGAAGCTTTGCTATCTCTTGACTTTGGTAAGTAATTGACTGGTAATTTTAAGACCGCAAAGAAGGAAAGAAAGAAACCAGATGTTCACTTACAAGATGGAACTCAGCTAGAATTTCTTTGGTTGTGGTCCTGAAAAGATATCAAAATGTAAAAAAAATATTATTTTTTAGTTTTAATAAAACTACATTGCTTGGGAAAAGCTGTGAAAAGCTGTCCCAAGAAACAAATTAGAGATGATATCTACACTGCAATACTTTAATAATAATAAAAAATGTACATTGATAATGAATGAAAAATAGAAGGAAAAAGTTAATGGTTAAAACCATGTCAAACATATAGTATACAAGGAATTTCTTTAATGACCCCCCCTCCCCGAAAAAAAGTGTCAGTAGGATGTGTGACCCCTTGCTCTTAGACATGTTCCATAGAGGTCACCCATGCTATTAATGAGGGTAACTAACAATGCTAGAGGGATCAAAAACCATTTTTCCTCAAGGGCAGCTAAAAGTGATGCAAGAATCTTTAATGGTGGATAATTTGTAGTACATGCATTCTGAGTAGTGTTCGTGGCTTGGCATTACTGTTTATCAGAATAGAAAAATCATCTACAGTTCCTGCATATAAGCATATATAGTGGCCAAACATGTCACTTATGAGTCTTAATCCAATCGTGGAACCTCTCTAAGACGCACAAGTTGGTATGACCACCACTGTGTCACCTCCTCCAGAAGTTTGTATGACTGCTGGTGCTAGCCCCATACCACTGTGCCATCTCCTCCAGAAGTTTGTATGACTGCTGGTGCTAGCCCCATACCACTGTGCCGTCTCCTCTAGAAGTTTGTATGACTGCCAGTGCTAGCTCTGTACCACTGTGCTACTTCCTCCAGAAGTTTGTATGATTACCAGTGCTAGCTCTATACCACTGTGCCACCTTCTCCAGAAGTTTGTATGATTACCAGTGCTAGCTCTGTACCACTGTGCCACCTCCTCCAGAAGTTGGTATGACTGTCAGTGCTAGCTTCATACCACTGTGCCACTTCCTCCAGAAGTTTATATGACTGCCTGTGCTAGCTCTATACCACTGTGCCATCCTTCTCCAGAAGTTTGTATGATTACCAGTGCTAGCTCTATACCACTGCCACCTCCTCCAGAAGTTGGTATGACTGTCAGTGCTAGCTTCATACCACTGTGCCACTTCCTCCAGAAGTTTGTATGACTGCCTCTGCTAGCTCTGTGCCACCTCCTTCCTAGGATTTTCTCAACAGCATTAATTTTTGCTTTTCCAAACCCTCATATTTTGCTTTATTATTTAAATGAATTTCAATTAATTTCTGATGAAAACATTAGACCACCTGACAGTCTAATTCAGATGTTATGCACATAATCTTCTACAGTTTCTATGATGGGTTTGACTGAAAGAAAAACAAGGTACAGGAATACCACCTGACTTGATGTAGTCTGTTTCTGATGATCTGTTCAGAAATAGTTATTCCAGTTACCACTGAAACTGTAACAGTAGGAATATTTGTCTACCTATCTCACTGTAATAAGTAGTTAATGACCTTATTGGTGTTGCCCAATACTAGATTACTCTCTCTCTGATGTTTCCTGTTGTTGAATTTAAATCTAATTTCTGTTCCCAATATAAGGCAAGACTTCTTGTCAGGCTGCAACTACTTTCAAGCTTTTAAACTCACACCATATAAATTCTTCCCCTAAATGTTTTGTTCCAGTCATAATGACTAGCATCTTTCTCTGTTGACAGTTATCTTGTTATTGACCTAAAGAATTGAAACTGTAATTATATTTCATTACACAGTCTTGAAGATAATCTTCTACTATAAGGGCTCTTTGTGGCATCAGGTGGCAGGATATTAGACAATAAGTATATATTTGAGTTATTACCTAAATTTACTAATAGTCATGTTGTGTTTCCCATCCATTAGACTTTCTTACACCTCAAAATTGGATTTTAAGGTGTAGTGTTATAATGTAAAACTGTATTGTTGCTTGTTTTAACATGTTGTAAACACTTGCAAAACAATTCTGTAAATGAGAAATCATCATAATGTTCTGATATTATTATCTAATAATTGTTAAGCCTGAGTTGCCAAATTTTATTACCATTACAGCTTTGAAATCACTTACAAGGGCAAAGTTGTAGAGATTAAAAGAGGGAAGTTATCTGTGTTGCAGAGATACATTAATAAGTATGTAAAAACAAAGACTTAACCAATTCATTGCAAGATTATACTAAGCATTCTAGTTTGTTTTTGTACTAGTACTTATTTAAAAAGTAGATAGAATGCTTTTTTGTTACAAAATAAAATTGTGTCTTAAATCATTTCAGAGTTTGAGTTTAACCTTTTTTTGCAGAAAATATTTTAATAGTAAAAGTTTTAGTATGGTTAGAAAAAATATACTTTATTGAATGCTGTAGTCAAAGTTAATGCATCACTGCAGACTGTACAGAATGAAGGTTGTTTACAGTTTAACCTTTATGTTCCAAATGTACAAAAAACTAAAGTAACTTAAAACTTAATTTGTCAAAAGTAAGTACAGTTTGAAAAACTGTAAATTATAAAGTAATTATTTCTTAAAATTTGTTCTCAAATAAACTTTTTAAGTCTTTCTATTGGTACATTTGTGTACACAGAAATGACTGATGTTCATGAAATAGTTCAACATTGCCCATGGAATTTTATATAAATGCATTATTACAAGCAATAAAAAGTTTACTCGCTCATTAAGTTGCCCTTTAGTCCAATAAGACTTCAGAATGATGAATAAGTTTGTGAAAACATTGCATTCATCTCATCAGAACCAAACATTCACTGTTTAAAGTAAAACTGGCATCTGAAGTGTAGCTATTTTGTGATGTATGTTAGATTTGTTATATTTTTCTCACTATGTTTTTAATCAAAATACTTGTAAAAAAATAAGTTGCCACCTGTTAAAATTTTATATGTAGATATAAGATTTCCTTTTATTTTCCAGGCTTACACAAATATTTTCAGAGGAGATGAACTTCCAGAACCAAAATCCATGTTAGAGGTAAATAACAGCATATTTAACAGAAAACTGTGTAATGCCAGATATGAAATTTCTTTTAATTTTACTTATTTAGGTAAATATATCTCCAACATTTATTAACCATAATATTTATTTTTTTTAGACCATCTTAATCTGTATTTGGTTGAATGATTATTCTAGTTGATAACATACATTTTGATCAGAGATTAAAGTAAGGATATATATACTTATTATTTTTGAAAGATATTTCAATTTTGTAGATTAATTTCAGCATTTTACAACATTATATATATATATATATATATAATCTCAAATGATGCCTTATTGCAGTGTTAGAAGTTGTGTGCATATTTCTTCTTTAGGCAACAGCTGAAGCCAACAATCTTGCTGCAGTGGCCAGTGCTAAAGATCATTATTGTTCTGGAATGGAAAAGGTTATACTTTTTTTTTAGCTAGTTCCATGCAGAAACAAAAAGTATAATGTAAGTAAAAAATGTGTGTACTAAATCAAATCTTAAAGTGAAAGGTAAAGGCTTGTTCACATTGGACATGAGCAATGTCACCAATTGTTAATCCACAAATTGGAAAAGACTGGAAATGAATACATTACCCTGCTCATGCATTTGTTTTTGTACATACTAGAGAAGGACTGCCCTATTACAAGTCCCCCAGTAGCACAGCGGTATGTCTGCGGACTTACAATGCTAGAAACTGGGTTTCAGTACCCGTGGTGGGCAGAGCACAGATAACCCTTGAGTAGCTTTGTGCATAATTAAAAACAAACAAACCCTATTACAAACAGGTTGTGTTTTGATAACAAGAGCTCTGATCTCCACAACAGTAGTAGTCTATAGTTGAACTGCTATTATCAACAAACTAAAATATTTCTTTACTAAATATATATATATATAACGTATTGCAATCTCAGTTGTATTTCTGTACAAATTCCCTTGATTTTTTTTTATATTCAGGTTATTTTGATTGGTCATTTTTGTTTGAGTCATATGACAAGAAAAAAGTAGAGACAGGTTCTGTTTTAGTGAAGCAAAAATTTCTCAAAGCAACATTGTTCACAGCTGAATACTCTTATTTTACTGCAATACATCTAAATTATTTGCTCACATCTAGTGTTGGTGAGCCTTAAGAATCTGTTAATTCTAAACAGGTAAAATTTACTAGATGTTTTAAGGGTTTTTTTTGGTCATTATTGATTTATTATTGAAAAGATTAAGCTCTGACATTGAAGGTAGTTCATATAGACTGTTTAGATGCTCACAAGAAAATGTAACAGTCTTACTCTTGAATTTTCTGGGATTTCAGACTTATTATATGCAAGTCGCAAACATTTATTGTCCTGTGTTTAAGTCATTCCCATTTAATCAATTTGTACACAAACTTGTGTCAAAAGTTTCAATATCAGATATTTGTGGTAGTTTTATTAATTGTTCAGGTAAAAAAAGCAATTAATTAAAAAACAGGTTCATCACTTGAAGACTGTGTATCATATATGCTTATCAGCTTTACATTTAAAAGTTTATTATAAACATTATTCTTTCATTTATTCCAAACAGAATAAAAACAAATATAAATCTGCAATGAACATTGTATAATTTGGTCAGATGCTAGTAAATCAAAACAAAAATTATCTGAGCTTATTATACTGATGGTAGTCATAGTAAGAAGCATTGTATGTGAATAGTAATGGGAACACCTTGTACTCATTGGATATCTCAGTGGTAGAGAAGTAGCCCTGTTAGCCAGAGATCCTTGGTTCAAGTCTAGGTCTTGGAGTATCATTTCATTTACTGTCTTTTTCATGTAAACTTTGATATACATACAGTTTTTTAATTGTAGACAAAGGTATATTAAGATATAGGTTAGATAAAGTAGAGAATAGTGTATACTGGCTTATTAATGTTCAAAAATTTAGATAATACTTGTTCCACATCATTAATTCATATTGTTTAACATAGTGCCACCAGGTGCCACTAATGTTAATACATAAATTGAACATATTTCATAGTTGTTTTACTGGTTCATACAAATACATTGTATGTACTATTACTCAAAATAAATTACCATAACAAAATAAGAGATTGCATGTGGCTAAGTTATTATGTATTTTATCATGGTGAGGAAGCTTTTTTTTTTTAAATTTGAGCTTTAATACTGTAAGAACACTGTTGGGGCATTGGATCATGCTCTTTTCTGTAAAATTATATATATATATATACTGTAACTCTGAATTTTTATGTGCATCTTCACAGAATTTGGTATACTTATAATAAACATTAAAAAGTCTTTTGTGTGCAAAAGCAGATATTTTAATAAAGTATTTTTACTAAAGATTTGTTTGTGAGTTTCTGAACTCTTTACTGATTCAGTATGTCTGAAAGGTGATATTCATGGCAGGAATAAGAATACTTCTTTTCATCTTACAGTTTTCATATTTCATTTGCATAATCTCCAGAACCTCCTAAATGAATATAAAGTGTTTTTTTGTGAAACTTTATTTTATCTACCCTAACACTAACTGTAGTAAAATCATGAATGTATAGTGAAAGGAAAAGCTGAATAATATGAAATACAATGAATACTGTAATTTTTTCCTTTGCACTAACTGTGTTGCGTCAGCGAGTCACGTGACTACCGTGACGCAACGTTTCTAGAACTATCATGTACTTTGGCGAATGCTCTAGTTCTTACTGGATAGAGGGTAGGCTGGTATATAAAAGAGGAGAATGTAATGTGTGAGATAGACAGTGAGTAATTGAACTGCAGTCACGGGGTATTGTTGAAGTTAACGTTCGTTCGTTATAGTATTTGTTTTAGTGCGAGTATTGAGATTAAGTGTATCGCAGAGTTATATTCGGAAATAATAAACCAGTTTTATTAAGAAAGAACTTGTGTCGCTTAAGTTTCGTTGGAACGAAGTTACGGAAAGTTAATTAACAAACGGAGACGTAACAAATTGGTGTCAGAAAGTGGGAT